GCCATTAATCAAAAGCAAATAAATCGCCAAAACAAAGCTCCGCAATAAAATACAATACTGTTGGTATACAGGATCACACTAGGGAGGGGCATCTGCAGTTTAAATTTTTACCACTAATTGGTTTAATGTGCATATCTCTTAAACCTAAAATAACAAAATTCACAGAGAACAAATGTTCTTAGTACCTCAACACGGGTGACAACGCCGTCCAGTCTCCATATAACGGTACTGTTACAAACTACTAAAAGCACGATATATCAAGCACTAAACACGCCAGAGACATTAACTTTTATCTCTGGGATGGTATGATATGACTTTATGGGAACCGCGTTCAAAATTAGACAGTGGACGTGGCCCCGCCCACTTTTAGGTGAAAACCCATATTTTGGGTTCTGCTTAACGGATTTCAACCAAATTCAGTACATAACATTCTTCTCATATTTAAATGTTATAGTGCGAATTATTGAATCGAAACTTCGAAACGAAATTACAACCATGCCTATTTCCCATATAACATCATTTTAAATTCCGTCTGATTCTTTCACTTTTCACTATGAAAATCAAGCAACAATGATTGTATCGAGGTAAAACTTTGCGTGAATAATGCGTTTAAAGTATGCCACCTTGTGACCAAAAATTGTCTTAATCGAACCAAAACCAGAAATCTCAAACGAGTATACCATTTGACTTTGCGAGTCAACTCCGCACCATTCCTCGAAATTACTTGAAGAATGTTTTCTACCGCTATTGCCTATGAAACTGTTAATTGTACATTTTGCCACAGTGCCACTGAAAAAAGTTACAAACATACCAAGCTAATAAAAAGCCATTAATCAAAAGCAAATAAATCGCCAAAACAAAGCTCCGCAATAAAATACAATACTGTTGGTATACAGGATCACACTAGGGAGGGGCATCTGCAGTTTAAATTTTTACCACTAATTGGTTTAATGTGCATATCTCTTAAACCTAAAATAACAAAATTCACAGAGAACAAATGTTCTTAGTACCTCAACACGGGTGACAACGCCGTCCAGTCTCCATATAACGGTACTGTTACAAACTACTAAAAGCGCGATATATCAAGCACTAAACACGCCAGAGACATTAACTTTTATCTCTGGGATGGTATGATATGACTTTATGGGAACCGCGTTCAAAATTAGACAGTGGACGTGGCCCCGCCCACTTTTAGGTGAAAACCCATATTTTGGGTTCTGCTTAACGGATTTCAACCAAATTCAGTACATAACATTCTTCTCATATTTAAATGTTATAGTGCGAATTATTGAATCGAAACTTCGAAACGAAATTACAACCATGCCTATTTCCCATATAACATCATTTTAAATTCCGTCTGATTCTTTCACTTTTCACTATGAAAATCAAGCAACAATGATTGTATCGAGGTAAAACTTTGCGTGAATAATGCGTTTAAAGTATGCCACCTTGTGACCAAAAATTGTCTTAATCGAACCAAAACCAGAAATCTCAAACGAGTATACCATTTGACTTTGCGAGTCAACTCCGCACCATTCCTCGAAATTACTTGAAGAATGTTTTCTACCGCTATTGCCTATGAAACTGTTAATTGTACATTTTGCCACAGTGCCACTGAAAAAAGTTACAAACATACCAAGCTAATAAAAACTTTTTAAAAATATTACATAATAGCGACTTAGTCATAGTACACATTTAGTCATACAAATATCTCAAGTTTAGACAGATTCAGCGTGAATTTTAAGCGTAGGTATACATAACAGAAACAATATTGTACATTTAATTTTAATAAATTTCGAAATCGCCAACTCACACGGAAGCATTTTTTAATCCCACAAGGGTGAGTTTTTATTTATGAAATGATATGGCATATATACCAATGAAAAAAACTATGTTATACAATTACAAATTATGGTGAATACGTAATAAATTGAACTTTGAACATTACCTTCATTGCTAGCGTAATCCAGAGGCAAAGGCAAATGATTGGTAGACTTTTTGTCAAGATCATCTTGATTTTTTGACCGTAAGAACAAAACTGTTGCAACAATCACAAGTACTAATATAAAAACAACAGCAACAGTAGCACCAGCAACAATTCGCATATGTATAGAGTCATCGTATCCTAAAAATGTAAAAATAGGAATTAACATAAGACAGAAATAAAGTTTGTGTATACTGTGCCACTAAACTGAGGTGGAAAGGCTTCAGAAATTGTAAAATAAAGGGATGAGAATGCAATACCTTGTGACCAGAAAGTTTCCGGAAATTGAAAATATAACGAAAAATGTTTAATCTTTATCAATATTTATTTTGTCGCCTTCAAAATATGCTCCTTTTGGAGTGATAGACATATTTCACCTCTTTTTCTAATAATCGAAACATGCCTTGTTGGCGCTGTCCGAGGTCGCCTTCAGTTCCCTCAGCGAAATTTTCGACTTCAATCTGGTCGAAACGGGTTTCACGGAGTGGTAAGTAGTGTTTTAAAAACAAAAACAAGCCACATGCCAAATCCGGTGGCTGATCGATGGTATTGAACGATCTTTTGGTCTTAAAATCGTTCACAACTACAGCTCGGTGCGATCGTTTTGCAAAAAATTCAGCTTTTTTGGAGCAAGCCGAGCATTAACGCGTCTTATGCCCAAATTATCGGTCAAAATCCAACGAGCTGTTTCACGCCCGATGTTTAGCTTACGTGTTATCTCTCTAACACTTGCATGACGACTTTCGAGCACGATTCCCTTCACTATTTTGATGTCACTGGTAGAAGTTGGAGGACGACCGGAACGAGGCATGTCTTCGACGGTTCTCGACCATCCTTAAAGGTCTTGTACCAGTCGTAGACTTGGGTTTTCACCATAAGCCTTGTCTAACATTCGCAACGATTTCGGCCACGAAATTTGGTTCGAAACACAAAGTTTGATGCAAATTCTTTGTTCAATATTTTTTTTCCATTGTAAAAATGCAAAACATTAATCAGGTCCACTGATTTCAACAGGTACAAACAAACTGGTTGACAGATCGCGTTCATTTTTAGCATAGTAATTAAGGACAGTGCTACCAACTTTATACAAAAAAGTGCTGAAAAATATTCAGCGCGGGCAGTTTAAATGACAATTTCCGGAAACCTTCTGGTCATAATGTAAATACACACCAATTAAGGTGATGCCAAAAACATTAAAATATTTTATTATCAAAGAACGACTAGACCAGCTAGAAATTAAAATGCTTCCAAGTTAAATATACGTGAAATTATAAATAGTACTAGAGGACCCCGTGCACGCGTTGCTGTGGCTAAGGTACACACATAAACATAATACATAACTGTTTATTTTTTTATTTTATTAATTTTTTTTCAAGTTTGAAACACATAAGTAATTTTCAAAGTTGTTAGTTGATAACATTTGAGATAATGAAAGATGTTAGATCATTCTTAATTTTTAACAATAATATATATAGATTTTAATTATAAACATTTTAAAATTCAGCTTAAATCAGCTCTATTTATATCATACATTCTGAGGGTGTCATTGGAAAACGTGGCAAGACGACCATTTCTCCATAAGTTTTCTAGTTAAAATGATTGCTACAATAATATTTCCTGTAATCTTTTTTTATTACCAAACGTGTATTGTTGCTTAATGCTCTGAATAATTTTCAACCGAATATTATGTGACGTCATTCCGAGTATATCTAGATAATTAACGTTTTCATTTTCATTAACAATAGACAATTCTAAGCTATCTCCCAACCAATTTTCAGCCAAATCGGGTAAACCGTTCCCGAGTTATTAATATTGTAACTAACACGACTCTCTTTTATGAGTTTATATTTATATCTATAAATCTTCTGCACGTGTGTTTGTAATTGAACTCCTTCTAAACAGATGGACCGATTCTGATGAAATTTTTTGTGTATATTCAAGGGGGTTTGAGAATGGTTAAGACTCACAATTCGATCAACTAGATAATATTTTAACATCGAATTCATTTATTTATAAATTGTTGTTGATTTTAGGACGTTTCCATACATAGAATTCCAGAAGACTGCGCTGCAGTGTCAGATATTCAAAAATATATTTGAGTTTACGATATAATTATACAAACCATGCATGGCTACGTGAACGTGCTATTTTAGCAGCAAAAAATTAAGATGTCGACGCTATCAATTTCAAAATACAACAGTCACTGTTTGGTAATGAATTTACATTCAAATGAATGAAATTGTCAACTATCCTGTAGAGTTTTTGAATTCACTATATTAACCTGGAATGCCACCACAAAACTTGCGATTAAAAATTGGCTCATCTATAATTTTGCTTTGAAATTTGAATGCGCCAATTTTGTGTAATGGCGCGCATATAGTCATAGAAAAATTTTGTTTGGTTGTCGTCGAGGTCATCTAACGTGGGGTTCGTTGGGCATACTAACAGGTGGTGAGTATAATGCGGAGACTCATTGCATATATTTAGTAAGTCGGGATCGATTCTGGGTAAGTAGGAGTTTAACCTGCGAAAACATCTCAGCAGAAACTGCTTCGAGAGGAGAGGCATTATGCACGATATGCGACCGAAATTAATTGGCACTATGGTGACAATCCACAGTAAGCGATTTCTCAGTCAAATCAAAATCACAAAATCACAAACCATCCCACGCTTTTTTCACAATAATACAAATATTTTTCGGTAAATATTTCTGTCAGTTTATATAAAGAATTATTTTTCACTTTTTAGTTTGAGGTCTTTTAAAATTGTGTATTTTAATTTTTTAAAACTATATTTATTTCATTGATTAAAAGAGGGAATTATTTTTCTAGGCTCGACGGGAGTAAGCTATCTCACCAAGGTCCTCAACCTGTTGCTGACAAATCTTCAAATACCCTATGTGTGGAAAGTCGAAAGAGTGTTCCCACTGGGAAATACGCCAACAAGGGGAGTCTTTTCGTCCGATAACTTAGTAGTGAAGAAACTTGAAGCCTTGCTACTCCCGACATTCCCTCGCCACCTTAGTCTAGCAGACCATCAGCATGGCTTCCAAAAAGTGCACAGGACCACCACAGCACTTAGCGTTATAAACGCCTAGTTAGTTCATGGCCTAAACCAAAAGCCACCCTGCGAGGCAGTCAACCACACAACGCTACTTGAGGACATCGAACAATCCACGCTCCCTCCAGGGTTGAAGAGGTGGACTATGAACTACCTGAGCGGTCAGCTTTCATCTGTGATGTTTCAAGGTCAAAACTCCAAACGGAAAAGAATTAAACAGGGGGTTCGGCAGGGTGGTGTCCTCTCCCCGCTACTGTTTAACTTCTACATCTCGAAACTTCCCCAACCATCAGAGGGAATTTCCAATACCTCGTGAGCTGATGACTGTACGATATTGACTTTGGCATGTGCTCCAAAGTAAACGGCTATCTCTCCGACCATTCTCGCTTCTTCGCTACAAGGAGCTTAACACTCTCCTCCACCACAGCTCCTAAATCCACAGCGACCACATTCACACTGGACGAAGGAATACAGACTGGATCTAAACATTACAGTCGAACTCTAAACTTTTAGGTGTTACATTTGACAGCCTGTGCTCCTTCACTCCTCACACGACCGCGATAACTGCCAAAGTCCAGAGCCTCAACAATATCCTCCAGTTTCTTGCTGGCAGCTCATGGGCAAACGACAGAAAAATCAAGAGGTACTTCCATGATTACGTCGGTGACATTGGACAGTACGCCGACCAGACATGCACTGACCACCATTCACAGTGGAGCCATTAACACCTTCACCGACTCACTCTCAATGAATGGCTTACTTGGGGCCAAACCACCACCCATCGCAGACGAAGAGCTCGAGTTGCCACGAGAATCTAGAGTGACCCTTGCGCAACTTCGTTCTGGGTACTGTAGCAGGTTTAATTCCTATTTATCCAGAATCGATCCCGACATACCAAATATATGTATATCCTGCGTGCAACGAGTGATCGCATGACTTTAACGACCTCTTTGCATGCCCAACTAACCCTATCATCGGGCAATGGAATCGATGGCATGTGCGCGAAAGTAAACGGCTATCTCTCCGATCTTTCTCGCTTCTTCTCTGCAAGGAGTCTGACACTCTGCCCCACTAAATCCACAGCGACCATATTTACGAACTGGACGAAGGAGTACAGACTGGATCTAATCATTTTAGTCGATGGTACCAAAATTCCGACGGTAAACAACTCTAAAATTTGAGGCGTTACACTAGACAGTCTTTGCTCCTTCACTCCTCACACGACCGCGATAACTGTTAAAGTACAGAACCGCAACAAAATCCTCAAATCGCTTGCCGGCAGCTCTTGGATAAAAGACAAAGAAACGTTGCTGGCGACATACAAGGCAATCGGCCGGCCGGTCCTAAACTATGCAGCCCCAATATGGTCGCCTGGATGTAGTGCTACGCAGACCAGGAAGCTCCAGACCTGTCAGAACACTGCACTCCGGACTATCACGGGATGCCTCTTGATGTCCCCAATCGAACACCTACATAGTGAGGCCCGTATGCTTCCGGTTACGGAACATAACGAGCTCCTCTCCAAGCAGTTTCCCCTGCAGTCGTCTGTTTGAAGCGGAGCTGCCTCCTAGTAACATCAAGAGGTCTTTTCTTGATTACGTCGACGACATTAGACAGTACGCCGACCGGACTTCGGACGCAACGAACTACAGACAAGCTCTGACCGCCATTCACAGTGGAGCCATTAACACCTTCATCAACCCCCTCTCAGCGAATGGCGTACTAGGAGTCAAACCACCACCCATAGCAGACGTAGAGCTCGAGGTGCCTCGCGAAACCAGAGTGACCCTCGCGCAACTTCGTTCTGGATATTGTAGCAGGTTAAACTCCTACTTATCCAGAATAGACCCCGACATACCAAACGTCCTGCGTGCAATGAGTCTCCGCATGACACCCACCTCTTTGCATGCACAAAACACCCTTTTCCCTATGGTCCGACCCCGTCGAAACAGTTCGTTTCCTGGGCCTCCCGTTAGAAGCCCTCGACGACATCCAATCTATAATTTATCACCCAAACGGGGATTAGGTAACCGTTACAACAACAACAACAATCCCATTCATCTAACACTTTTCTCCCTATAGTCCCAGCTCGTTTCCTGGGCATCCCGTTAGATGACCTCGACGACAACCTAACTAAAACTTACCACCCAAGCGGGAATTAAATAACCGTTACAACAACAACAACGTAGTTTTTGTATATATAGATGTTGAGGAATCAGAAAACGATGATTTACGAAATTAAGTAGAAGCAAAGTGGTTAATTGCTAAATCAATATTTTAAGTAGGTTTAAGATTATATACTACAATGCCAGTAGAATCAAAATTTGAAACCAGAAATGTATCAAATGTGTATTAAATTAATTACAAATAAGAGATATAATGTACTATAAATTTTATATACCAACAAAGTAATAATAATAGATAATAATAATTAAGTTTGTCAGTGTATAAAATTCAAACTCAAAATATGTTGTTTATTTACCTGAATTCATGCTCTGATGTGTTTGCGCATAAACTATGTTACTGTAAGTGCCATATCCATTCAATGTTTTACAACGAACTTGAAACCCATATTCCGTATTTTCAGTGAGCCCTTCAATGTGAGCCTTAGTTTCCTTTGTATTCAACGCGGTTTTATTGATTGAATCAAGTTCCGGTTTGGGAAACCAACGAACCTCATAAAATTCAATAGGAGAATCACTTTGCACAGGTTTGTCCCAAACCAAATCTACTTCCCTATTTGTAGTCGCAACAACTCGAACATTAAATACAGTGGACAAGATTGCAGACTCTGTCTTGAATGTAATTTCGGCATATTCAGTTTTTATTTGATTTAAATCGAAAGCCTGATTGTTAACTAAAGTAACCGTCGATTTTACATTAGTAGACATTAAGGGATTTTCAGGCGTAGCGTCGAAAGATCCAAATTTGGCTGTATTATTATTATCTTCAGAAGTATCATTGTAATTATTGTCCGCGTCCAATAGGCTTGAAAGACCGTTTAGAGAATGTATTTGAATTGTGTACGTCGTTACTGGTTCTAAATTATTTAAGGTTAATTTAGTTTCATTAAATGAATCTGATGCAGGATTGTACACAACGTTAGAGGAGCAGGATAGACATCGCACTTTATATACAATTTCACTGCGGTATTTATTTTTTTTCAAAGAAAGTGATGATTCTGAAAACTCTCTTATGGGCACATTCCATGAGAGAATCGCACTTGTTTGGTCCACAAATAACAAAGTCAAATTTGTGGGAGGTCCAGGCGGTTTATAGCAAGGCATATGCTTTCCATCGTGTGGATGTCGATAATAACCAGGAAGGCATTTACAAAATCCTGCTGCTACATTTAGCGCATTTGAATTAGGTGGGCAGGGTACACATTTATTAACCTCTTTTGAACGAAATTTCTCAATCGGACATTCTTAAAAACAAAGTTTATTAAATATTTGTTTTAATATAATTAGGACAAGTATAAAATTATTACCATTACAGGTTTTATTTATGAAATCTGGTTCATATCCAACCTTGCAGTGGCAGCCTCCAGTTAGAATGGTCCATTTGCCATCACCTTTACACAAGTATGTAGGTATCTCATATGGTTCCGCATTTTCAATACAGGTGCCATTCTGTTTTTCAATTATAGTAATTTCCCTTCCCGTCGGTGTTTCATTGAAATGAGCAAAGTTTTCTGTTACTGCAGGACAAGTGATATAATAAACCTTTACTGCTAACACACTTATGCAGGCTCCTTGATCACGGAATGCAAAATAAACCCCTTTCTTGGTTACCGCAATACTTTTGACTTCAGTGTTTATATCAACGTCGGAATTTTGATTGAAACGCCCTTCCCCTGCAGCTATTCGTGCTATTAAATTAAAGACGTATTGAATATATGTAAATTTCGATAAATAGTAATGATTTTTTACATACCGATTAACTTATAGCTATCGGTCTGCCAAGGCGGAGGTTCTCGAGTAGCAGCATCAAATTCATAGAATAAAAGGCTAAACGTTTCTTTACAAGAAAGTGCATTTCCTACAAAACCAATAAATTAATTTTCCAATATTAAATATTATTTGAATTTACCTGGAAATAGGGAACAATCACGTATAGTAAATTTAATTTCAATGTATAGTCTGTTTGCAGGTCCCCGGTCGATAAAAGGAGACCATAACCAATTATTGACATTGTTATATGCAACATCGCAAACCACATAGCTTCGCCAATTTATACCCTTTACAAAATCTGTAAATGATTCCTCAACCCACTGCAATTGTGTTACAATGAGAAATGGACACCAAATAAACACAATAAATCATATGTACCCCTGGTGTTTGAGCCTGCGGTCCATAAGGATAGCGAGTCCACTCCAAAGTAGCTTCTCTTGTCGTATCCAGAAGAATAACTTGAAATGTATCAACAAATAGCAAAATAAAGATTATGACTAAACTTAATCAAAAACTAATTAAATTACCTTGATCGGCTAAAACAACATCAAAGTGAAATACAATAGTACAAAACGCAAAAGCAAATAATACTTTGCGTACTTTCATTATCAAGAAGTTTAATGGCGCTTTCGATGAATTTAATATATAAGTTCCCTCTATCGATGTTATTCTGGTCAAAATTTGTATGAGCAATATTTTCTTTATAATTTCTATAATTTTGATAATCAACATTTTCTGGCTGGAACTTTCTAATTTGGAAGGTGACAATAACGACTTATTTGATACATAATATGATGATAAAGTAGTATTTGCCCTTGATGTTAAAGGCATACTGTTTGTAAATAACGTCACATTGGAAGAATATATCTGTGATCTGGAAGTACATATACGCGATTCAGCACTACCTAAACTGTCGTTATTCGGTGAATGTATCGAACATGTGTCAGCGACGGAAGACAGTTTTGATTGAAGTCTTCTTAATTTGAAATTAGGGTGACATACAACGGCCTCTAAATTCTTATAGAAAGTTTTTACTATATTCTCTATAGAAAAGGTTTTAATCGTCGATGTTGCGGCTCCTCTCGTTATTATAACTTGATGGTTGGCATTTCTTTTTTCATTACATTGCAATGTGACACAAGTTGGTTTGAAGTGGAGACCTAATATTTCCGCGCAATCCATTGATAACATTCTGAAATTCATTAACATATCATTGTACAAATATTTTGTTAGTATGTTGTGATCAAGGACTGAAATAAATTTCATAAGTAAATATTTTTTAATATTATAAATTACATGTCAAAGTCATTTACACTCGAATTTGTTAATTTCATGGCAGAAATTTACCTTCAATAAAAATAATCCCCTTGAAGAAAATATATACCAGTGTTGTTAAATATTAATGGGGAAATTGTATAGCAGATGGACGTAATCGGAAACTAAAAATTCTAAACTTCTTGGCAAATACGTTTTGCTATACAACGCTATAACGCCTATTTGGTTGTATGGTATTCACCCGTGGGGTATTACCTGTGCAACAAGCATTGACGTAATACAGAGGTTCCAATCAAAAATCGTTAGAGCGATAACGGACCCAATGTTACAATTAAATTGAAAATATTCACTAAGACCTTATCAAATCCCTTGGTAAAGATATGGCTGACTTTTTACCGAAACTATCGGTTAATCTGTGGAAACATTGAATGTTCAAGGAAAAACGTTTTTTTCTGGTAGTAATGTTTCCTGGTTTTCCAATCATAATTTGAGATATATGCATAATGGCTCAAAAATATTCTCGAAGCATTGCACAGAACAATTACTACTGTCTGGTTATTTCCGACAGATCACTCATTCTTCGCTTTAATTAATTCAAAATTAACAAAAGTTAAAAAAATTCGTTCTTATGGTGAAGTATTGAGACGATTGGAATGTATGCGTATGCAATTGCAAAGTAGTTAACCACCACAAATATATTCCAAACAATTGCTAGAAATTGGGAATGGTATAATAGAACTGCAACTGAATACTCAATGCATTAAATTGACAGACAATTTCTGCACTGCTGTTCACAACATTTTATTAATTAAGAGTATTTTCTTGGATATGTGGACACATATGTAGATGTTGCCGAAATTTATTTCTAGATACAACACGTTGCCAGGTGATCTGACGTGTTTTAAATCAAGCTAATTTTGTTGACGGATATGAAAATGAAATAAAAAATGTCAAATTGTGTTTCTAAATTCTTTAGATATACCCGTAATGGCATCACATAATCCTCGATTGAAAATTGGTTTCCCTATTTCTTTAGAGTAATTTGAATCCAACTCGAATATGCAACGGTACACGTTTGATAACCACAGAAATAACAGGAAATTTTATTGAAGCAACCATTATGACTGGAAAATTAATGGAAAAATGGTACTGTACCGCATATAAAGTTTTGGTCTTTATTCATAAATACCATTAACTATGTATTAACTATATATATAATATAATTTATTATAAACCTTTGCCACAGCAGCGCATCGTCGGACCTTCTAGTACTTAATATAAAGATTTTAATTACTTTATAACATTTATATCGGTCAATCTGTAAATTATCTTAGTGAAACTCAGAGAATATCTTTTTGTACTGATAATGTTTTGTTGCCAAAAATGGATAAAACCTGGTCAACCATACCTGTAGTTCACTTCTTCTGAGTTAATTAGTTTCAATTATGTAAACATCGCAGGCGCGAAGCAAAATATCTTAATAAAATTAAATAAGTCTACGACCTATAATATAAGTTGATAATATACCAAATATGATTATAATTCATTCAAGATTTCTTCGAATAATGAATTTTGAGTTTTTACGCATCATTTTTTAATACAAAGTTTAAAGGACACCTGAAAGTGTTTCTCGGGCTTAGATGCGTACAACTTGCAAGAGGACCATGCGCTGTTATCGCGAATAGGTTCCTCTCGGACGACCTTGACATCCAACTGAACTCAAGAAACGAGGCTTAAGTGCATAATATTATATATGTCAGTGTAAAACTCATTATAAATCGAAAAATTACTGCCTAAAATTTATTATATTATGAACATTAAATATAAATTACATAAAAATAAGTCAGTGGCGCCTTTATATATACATTTTCTTATCCTGGGGAACGTTCTCTCTCACTCCATACCAATTTCGAAAATGGGAAATAAACTAGATTTTGTTGTAAGTCATAAGGAGATATTAATTGATAATTGTGATAATTTATTTATTTATTTAAACGCCAATCGGCAATATACATAGATATAATAAAGAATTAAAGTATTATACAAAAGTAGCTAGGGTATATTAGTGTAATATCTGACAATTCCCACAACAGCCGGTTCTGCGATACCGGAATTGACCCGGATTTTATCCGGCCAAGGGCTGTTATTTCGGCGATCTAACCCTGTTTGGATCGGTAAGTTTTAGATTAAGTTTGTCGTCATTGGAGCAACGCCTAGCAGCAGGGTTGCTGCGTATCCTCCTGACCCGTGCTGGCATCGAGTCCTACCCGGGCCCCGAGGAATTCTACTGCTGCGTATGCGCAAAAAGGCTGCATCTGAATTCCACCTCGGTTAGGTGCAATACATGCAATGGATGGAGCCATCTTAAGACCTGTTCAGGCCTTAAGACACACAGGGAGTGGACCACGAGTTACGAGGCCCCATGCTGTCAACGCAATAATGCGACATCTGCCTCAACGGCTGTGCAACCTGCACCATGTTCGCGCACTGCGCTGCCACTCCAGTCGAGTGGCCAAGATAGGACCTCCACGGTCCCAAGCAGCTCACACAGACAGCATAACTCCCAATCTGACCAACCTCCCCCAACCATCATCCAGCTCCAATCCTCGTGCGAGAACCACACAGCAACTCCTGGTTCCTCGCACAGTCTGTTCCGTGTGTCAGACCATAATACGCCGGAATGTCACATCAGTCAAGTGCAATTCTTGTACTGGCTGGTGTCACTTTCTGTCGTGTTCTGGCCTGCGCACTACACGAGAGTGGAGTCGTCGTAGTGCCCCATGCTGTAGGAGTCTGCCCCGCAATCACATACAGTGGCGTCGCCAACCAACACCACTGTGCGACAACCGCCCATGCGGATAGCACAGCTGCAACAACCACCACCTACACGCACCCCACTCACCCCTAGGATCACGACTGGACACCGCACAAACGCGACTCTTACAATTTAACTGCAACGGACTCCAGAGTAAGATCGAGAGATAGTTGCATTTATGAGCCGGGAGCGCGTAACGATAGCTGCGGTCAAGAAACCAAGCAAAAAGCCACTCAGATCTTCTGAGTTGTGCAGGTTTCAACGTTTTACTAAGGATCGCGAGAGGGATAATGGTGGAGGCCTAGCCTTCATATTGCACAACACCGTGCAATATCGTCTAATCGATGTTACATCGACCGAAGGGACACCACCCTAGAATGTCAGGGTTAGCTGTCCGGTCAGGCGATGTCGAGCTCGAAATATTTAATATATACATCCCCCAGTTACATGTTGCCCAACAGGATATCACCCGAATATAGATGCGCTACTTCGTGGTGAAAACCGTTTGGTGCTAGGCGACTTAACGCGCATCACGATCTTTGGCATTCCTGCCTGTCAAACGATCGTAGGGGGATGGAGCTGGCGAACAGATAGACGATTCGACATTCTGCACAATGAATGACGAAGCCCCCCACCAGAATTATGGGCACCTGCAATAGCTCGCCAGATATTACCATCGCTAGCGGTGGTCTGATAAATAGTATAACCTGGCGACCTATGCTAACTCTCGCATCAGACTATCTGCCCATAATTATCTCGATCGAGAAACCTCCTGACTTTATTTCTGTGGACAACCGCACTTTTGTTTACTTTAACAAAGCTAACTGGGTCGGCTTCACAGAATTTACCGAGAGCACCTTCAACGCACTACCCATTCCTACGGACGTCACCGTTGGCGAGCGTCAATTCCGCAAGGTGATCGCTGCTGCTACTGCTCGCTTCATACCGGCTGGAAGGATTGCGGAACTCCGCCCAAATTTCCCAGCCGAAGCAGCAGTATTAGCAAGCGAGCGCGACACCTTACGCCATGCCGATCCCTGTGATCCCCGAATAAGGGATCTCAATTTGGAGATTCGGCAAATGGTAAATCATCATAAGCGGACAAAATGGATAGAGCACCTGAAGTCCTGCAACCTCTCCACCGGTGTGAGTAAGCTTTGGACTACTGTCAAGGCCCTGTCAAATCCGAGGAGACATGACGACCGGGTTGAAATTCAATTCGATGGTCATGCCTCCTCGAACCCGAAGAAGTGCGCGAGCTACTTTAGCTGGCAGTTTATACTGCACCCTTCGACCGACATGGCCAAACGATGTGTTACCCGACGGCTGCGCAAAATGCCAAAAGACTGCGCACCACTTACTTTTACCGATGGGGAGGTTCAGAGTGTCATCAAAAAGGCGAAATCGTCTAAATCCATCGGCCCTGATGGAATAAGCATGCTGATGTTAAAACACCTAGGCCCAACGGGAGTAAACTACCTCACCAAGGTCCTCAACCTGTCGATATCCACTCTTCAAATACCCGATGTGTGGAAAGTCGGAAGAGTGGTCCCACTGCTGAAACCTGGGAAACCCGCCAACAAAGGGGAGTCTTATTGCCCGATAACTCTCCTTTCCCCAGTAGTAAAGACACTTGAGGCCTTGTTACTCCCGTCATTCACCCACCACCTGAGCCTAGCAGATCATCAGCATGGCTTCCGTAAAGTGCACAGTACCACCACAGCACTTAGCGTCATAAACGCCCAGATAGTTCATGGCCTGAACCAGAAGCCACCCTGCGAGAGGACGATCCTCGTACCGTTGGACTTGTCAAAAGCTTTTGACACAGTCAATCACGCAACGCTACTTGAGGACCTGGAACAATCAACGCTCCGTCCAGGGCTGAAGCGGTGGACTATGAACTACCTGAGCGGTCGGCATTCATCCGTACTGTTTCGAGGTCAAAACTCCAAACTCAGGAAAATTAAACGGCTACCTCTCCGATCTTTCTCGCTTCTTCTCTGCAAGGAACCTAACACTCTCCCCCACCAAATCCACAGCGACCATCTTCACAAAATTTTAGGCGTCACTTTGGACAGTCTGTGTTCTTTCACTCCTCATACGACCGCGATAACTGCCAAAGTACAGAGCCGCAACAAAATCCTCAAGTCGCTTGCCGGCAGCTCATGGGGAAAAGACAAAGAAACGTTGTTGGCAACATACAAGGCAATCGGCCGGCCGGTCCTTAATTATGCAGTCGCAATATGGTCGCCTGGATGCAGTGACACGCAGAAGAAGAAGCTTCAGACCTGTCAGAACACTGCACTCCGGACTATCACGGGATGCCTCTTGATGTCTCCAATCAAACACCTACATAGCGAGGTCCGTATGCTTCCGGTTAAGGAACATAACGAGCTCCTCTCCAAGCAGTTTCTGCTGGGATGTTTTCGTAGAAACCACCCCTGCAGTCGCCTGCTTGTAGCGGAGCCGCCTCCTAGGAACATCAAGAGGTCCTTCCTTGACCACGTCGACGACATTAGACAGTACGCCTACCAGACTTCGGACGCAACTAACTTCAGACAGGCACTGACCGCCATTCACAGTGGAGCCATTAACACCTTCACCGACTTCCTCTCAGTGAATGGCGTAATACGAGTCAAACCACCACCCATAGCAGACACAGAGCTCGAGTTAACTCGCGAATCTAGAGTGACCCTCGCGCAACTTCGTTCTGGATAATGTAGCAGGTTAAACTCCTACCTATCCAGAATAGACCCTGACATACCAAACACATGTCCTGCATGCAATGAGTCTCCGCATGACACTAACCACCTCTTTGCATGCCCAACAAACCCCACTCATCTAACACCCCTCTCCGTATGGTCCGACCCCGTCGAAACAGCTCGTTTCCTGGGCCTTCCGTTAGATGACCTCGACGATATCGAATCTTGAATTTATCACCCAAACGGGGATTAGGTAACCGTTACAACAACAACAACAAGTGTAATATCTGGAAAATATTTAAATAATTGTAAGTTAATATGTAATTCAGACTTGATTTAGATGTAATTCAGATGAGCAGGTGTCTCTTGGTGTTTTCGGTAGAGTGACCCTCGCGCAACTTCGTTCTGGATATTGTAGCAGGTTAAACTCCTACTTATCCAGAATAGACCCCGACATTCCAAACATATGTCCTGCGTGCAATGAGGCTCCGCATGATACTAACCATCTCTTTGCATGCCCAACAAACCCAACTCATCTAACACCCTTTTCCCTATGGTCCGACCCTGTGGGGGGGGGGGGGGGGTTTGGTCGGATACTTAGGTACAAAGAGCCAGCATTTATTTTATATTTCCCCGCGTCCCGTTTGTTATTGTGTAAATAATCGAAAATTATTTAATTATGATTTAAAACTATTTGGACACTATTTAATATGAAATAAATGTGAATATCAAATTGATGAATATTTGACGTTCGAATACAAATATTGATTGAATTTTAGAATAGCACTCCCCGAATTCGGGGTTAAAATGGGTATGTACGGATTGAGGAGGTTCTCCAGATTTAGGAAATTTATATATATAGTTGCCGCTGACTTATTGTTTTGGAGGCCATAAGCCGCGCTTCAAAATAAATAACCCTGGTCGATCCAACACCCAGGTGTGCTCAGTTCTTTATCGTAGAACTCCTTTTTGCGTTAGCGTTCTTCGGCCGCGCTTCAAAAACAAAAAAAAAACCCTGGTTGATCCAACACCGGGGTTTACGAAGCGAAAGGAAATTCTGAAAAAGTTTGCGCTACTCATCACACAACTATGAATTTTGTTTGACGGTATAATCCTTCTATTTTATTTATTTTTATTCGTTTGCAAAATATGGTAACATTTCTTTTTTGGATGCAAACAAAAAAGGGGAAAACTTAGTATACCGTCCCAGGCTTTCGGGGATAAAATGGGCGGATAGAAGAGACCTCCAAATCAAGATTATATATAGATATAGCAGCGGGAAACTTATAGTTTTCGAGATATTTACGTTTAAAGTTGTAAATTTCAACTATTTAAAGTAAGTTTTGCGGATATAAAAGTGGAAAATAAAAGTGTAAAATTCATTTGAAATCGAAAAAATGCGTACATTAAATAGTTGACATTTTCAACTTTAAACGTAGGAGGATCTCCTCTATCCGCCCATACCCATTTTGGGTCGGCTTTAGAATAACGTCCCACGCTTTCGTGGATAAAATGGGTATGGGCGGATAGAGGAGATCCTCCAGATCAAGAATATATATAGATATAGCCGCGGGAAAATTATAGTTTTTGAGATATTTACGTTTAAAGTTGAAAATTTCAACTATTTAAAGTACGTATTTTTGCGATTTAAAATGAATTATACACTTATATTATCCACTAACACTTGACTAATTCGTTTTTTGAAATTTTTTTTATATTAGATGCTGGAAAAATAGCTTTATTTCAATATTTAAATCATTCTTCAATTTTATTAATTTTGACAATAACAAAATGGTTGTGAATGTCAAAACATCATATCATGCCATACTAATATATTTTGTAAACGAAGAAAAATAAAATAAACAGAGAGATTGTACCCTAGATACAGGAAACAACGCAAAAAGTATTTCTGCGCGTAAAAACTTTGGTACATCCCGGTGTTGGATCGACCAGGGTTATTTTTTTTGAAGCGCGGCCGAAGGCCGCCAACGCAAAAAGGAGTTCTGCGCAAAAAAACCTTGATACACCCCGGTGTTGGACCGACCAGGGTTATTTTTTTAAAGCGCGGCCGAAGGCCGCCAACGCAAAAAGAAGTTCTGAGCGAAAAATATTTTGATACACCCCTGTGTTGGACCAACCAGGGTTATTTTTTTTTGAAGCGCGGACGAAGGCCGCTAACGCAAAAAGAAGTTCTACAAGAAAAAAGTAATATTGTCATAGAGGGTATAACAAAATACTTAACATCAATGCTTTGTAATAGTTTATTTCTCTAGGTTTTGGATTCCTGTATTTGGGGTATTATCTGTTTTAATTTCTTTCAGTTCAATTACAAAAGATGTCGATAAGGTAACACTGGTTATTTTAAATTTTGCAACCCTTTTGTTATTGTCAGAATTAATAGAATTTAACAATAATTTAATTATTGAATTAAACTATTTTTGCACTATATAATGTAAAATAAATATGTACAAACGAATTAGTGAAGTGTTAGTGGATATAAAAGTGGAAAATATAAGTGTATAACTCATTCGAAATGGGAAAAATGCGTACTTTAAATAGTCGAAATTTTGAACTTTAAACCCAAATATCTCGAAAACTATAAGTTTCCCGCGGCTATATCTATATATATTCTTGATCTGGAGGATCTCCTCTATCCGCCCATACCCATTTTATCCCCGAAAGCGTGGGACGTTATACTAAAGTTTTCCCCCCATTTTATCCCCGAAAGCCTGGGACGGTATACTAAAGTTTTTCCCTTTTTTGTTTGCATGCAACCATTTTGATATTGTTTGAATAAATGGATTTGAAGTTAATATTGATTTTAAATTAGTTTTGCACTATTTAAAACCAAACAAATGTTTAGAAACGAATAAGTAAATTGTTAGTGCTTATAAAAGTTAAAAATATAAGTGTAAAATTCATTACATTACATTAATTTGAATTATTGAACCTTAAATGCAAATATCTCGAAAACCATAAATCAGCGGCAACTCCTCTATCCGTACATACCCATTTTAACCCGAATATTTTGCCGGGTATGCTCTTTTAAATTCCAGCCATTTTTTCACATCATTCAATAAAGTTAGGATCATAAATGACTATTAAAACTAATGAAGGTTTAGCAGGATGATTCATACCATCAGTAAACAGAAAATTGTTGTCAGCTTCAAATCACCCACTTATTTCTTTATTGGAAATGTTTCTTCACATTCAATTTTGTCACTATAAATATTAAACACTTACTTATCTAGGGATCAAATTTGACTTATGCGGCTTGTATATTTCACCCCGCACTGTGTACTTTTACACTTTCAATGTTTATTCAAATATTAAAACCATAATTTTCACTACTTTTCAGATATTTATTTACATTTCCATTTATGCGCCAATAAAACGCTAAACATTTACGTATAATCGATCACATTACATTGTTTAAAATTTTTCATATTATACACACATTTTCTTGCTTCTATATTGCTTTTAATTTTATCTCCAGTATTATCCAACGCAAACCTTACTTACGATTTCAAGTAAACACTTATAACAATGATACAATTACGCAAAGTTTATTACCGGCGAATTACCTTAAGATAAATTAATGATATTAAGATCAAAGCTTTTTTATGACATATACTTAAATACAATTGTTTAACTTTCCAAAATCCACTTCAACCGAGCATATTCATTTCTAACGGCGTTGAATAAAGTTAAAGAAACGGCAGAAATCTTTAGATATCTACAAGCCTTATGAGGCGACCCCACTTATGTATATATTATTTTCAAAGTTAAGTTGTCCCAGTTCATACACAGACTCTTTTGTAACCCAAACCGGTTTATTCTGGCGCGGGACGACGAGGATAGACGAAGGGACCGTGCCACTCGCGCTAGTTAAATAATAATAATATTGGGTTTATTATTTTTATTTATTTATGGAGTTCAATATATCCACCTTTACGTTTGATGGCAATACTAAGACTAAAAGACATTAGGTTTGCTTACAACTATTTGCACTATCGACAGAACATTCATGTTGTTCTGTTGTGTTCTTATTTTAAGCTGATATATATATTTGGATAAGTTCTTATCTGTTACTGATAATTACAATACATTATTATGTGTATATGTCATGAGACAGGTTTTTATGTTTACAGCTTATAAGGATTTGTTGATGTATTTGGGTTCGTGAGTATGATAAGGAATGTTCTTTTCATGGTTGCAAGAGCGCTCGGTTTCAAATGAATAAATACCATTCGTTCAGAAATTTTAATTCTGTTATCCATTTTTATATGTAATATGCAACCAGGTATGCATAGAATAATCGAAATATTTTGAAAAATTCTAAATAAAGCTTGTCACCGATGAGGTGGGGCGAATTTAACGCATATTTGGTTTATGGTTTATTTCTAAATATGGGATTGGGCGTGCTCTTTCATCTGCACATCGTCAAAATAGGGGTAACAAGATCAGCACAATAGCCACCTGATTTTACCAGCGCTCTACAGACGGAGCCACCATAATTTCATCACCAGCCAGGGGTAGTACATCCGCGCCAATGATATCCAGTGATTTTAACAGCCGGCTCTACAGGCACGGGGGCCTCACTCGAGGATCTATCAGCAGCTATCGCACGTCAAGAAAAATCTTATTGCCGGTCCTTAACAGCGCATTCATCTAGAGGAGTTTTGGTTGATATTAGAACCATCGCGTGGTTGAAGGCTCTATTTGGATACATCCTTAACAATATTGCGCCGAGGTTTCCAGTTATTCGCAAACATCTGAGGGACAAACAGTTACAATTGGGAACCGTTCATTAACGGAACAACCATTTCGCCGTCTTATAGTGAAACTGTTACAGTACGTTTTCGCGCCTACCGATTCCGTTACCATCGCCAACTTTGGAATAGTACAGCTTGGCTAAAACCACATGTACGTACAACTCATTTGGGATGGATACCCTTCGATCCAGTTAATTCACGACAATGCCTACATTCAGCCAATATAGTTTCTATGCCGCTTCAGTCATCGAGTTTGCCCAGGAAATTGACAGGATGCCAGACTTTTCTGGACAGCCGAGATTGCCATATTTTATTACGGCCTTTCCATCGAGTCAACGCGATTTATAGGTACGCAATCTACGAAAATAACCAACGGTTATTTGAAGAGCCTGAAGGGTTACGCGCGTGAAGGCAGTTCAGTTCCTTGCTGATCCACCCGAACAATGTCGGTATATAATTGAGTTGTTGAAATTTAGATTTGGGCGCCCGGAGCAGTTGATCCGTAGCCAACTGGCCCACGTTAAAGGAAAATCGCACCTAATTTCAGAGAATGCAATGTCGAAAAATCATTACCATTTGCAACAAATGTATGTAACATCTTGTGTCTTTTGCAATTGCACATTGGTGGTGAATTACATTTGTCAAACCCTACATACTCGACGAACTTGTGTCAATGCCTATGAGCAAACGCGTTGAGTGGGCAAAGTTTCGCAGCGTTTATACAGCTATATGCAACAGTGAACATTTCAGTGCGGTGGGTGGTTATCGGGGGGGGGAAATTAAAGCCCCAATAAATTAAAATTGGTTACGGGTTTTGTTTTTGTTTGGTTTGGATAGTTCGTCCAAGGAATGAAGTACCGCCCGGGTTCTTGCACCACAGTACATCAGCAACGATTCATCTGAGATGTCCATTTTGTCAGGGGCATCATTAAGCCGCAGAGTGTGCGCGTTTTTCTAGATATTCCCAGTGCCAACAGATGGATATGAGGCGAAACGAACATCGCTGTGTTTTTTGCTTGCCTCAATTTGGGTCATAATACACGAAATTGTCAACCGTCGCAAGCTATGTTTAATTGAAGTTGCCGGGAGGTTCATTCATAAGCTCCTACATGAGCCGTGGGGGAATCTACAATTTTTGTTCAAGTCAATTTCAACCACGTTTTCTCTCCTGCGTTATACCGAAGCAAATCCGTAGGCCCTACATCAAACTCAAGCATACACTCGATAAAGCCAGCAACCACAAAAGATGGGCCAGCAGTTCTTAAGTTGCATGTTCCACTGATAGTTAAACTCCTGTTCCGTATTTTGCCGGTCACCCTATACGGAAACCAAAGGCGTGCTGGACCACTTACGCACTCCTGGCGAAGGTTCATCTATCACAATTGATAGACAGTGCTCTTGTTCGAGACTTGGGAATGCGTGGATTGAGCAGCATTTTTGAATGTTCAGTGAGTTTGGAGACATGCCGCGCAGGAGTCAAGGTTTGTGTTAGACTTGCTTTATTATGGTGCGGTATGCAGGAAACAACATAAACTCCGCAATGTGTATGCTGTATCAAACTTGCAGCTTCTCTACAGAGTTTAAGCAAGGACTCGATTGGATCACAACTTTAAAACATATAAGCGGCTTCCTAGCTACATCTTATGCCAGGGTCAGGCCCAGACTCTTTGATTTGGTTCTTGATCATTGCCATTTGGGATTGCCATCGACAACTATGAAGGTAAACACGCATGGTCCATTTATTGGCCAATACGGAATTGGGGTTGGGTGGTGTTTGGCCCAACTTCAATCTACGCTACCTCTACAGCATCGTGTTTTTTAATGAACCGCCAAGTGATCAGTCTCTCCACAATTATGGTAGCTGACTTCTTCCAAGACCGAGGAATTTCGGTGTCAGAGCCGCACCCCCTATAGAGAGTGAGTGGACACTCGGCCAGAGCTATCCTGAAGTCCGCCCACATGCCGCGTTGACGGACGGTTTTTGGAAACAGGTCTCATATGGAAGATAAACCGACAACGTAAGGGTTACCTGACAGCTACAACATGGCGGTTGAAACGTCTTAGTCAGCTAGAGCAAAGAATTGCGTCGAGATTTCGATTTTCGCCACTCATACAAGACATCCATGGAAGCCTACGTGAGAAAAGAAATATGCCCGTAATTGTCACCCAGCAGAAGCACTATATCTTTAACTCTTAAGACTTGGTATTTGCGCACTTTGCCGTTAGCCATTCCAACAAACCCGGAAAGCTACGCATGTATTATGACGCCAGCTGCTTGAGGTAAGCGTGTAATTCTCCCTCAATCACAGCTCCTGAAGGGCTCCACAGAATATCGCCTTTTGGCCGTCGATATTATCACTTTCTGAAGCGCAGAAATCGCCGTATGTGGAGACATCAGGAGATGTTCCCACCAAGTTACGTATACGAAAAGACGATAGATGCGCACAGGGTTTCCTGGCGTGGTGGCGGCGTCTCTCAACCCCCGGTAATACCCGTTTTTCGGAAAATGTGCGTGATGACGTTGGTGCGCCCTGTTTCACCATGTGCCGAGATTATGTGAAAAAGTAAAACGCATGGAGCACAAGATGATCGCAGAACCACTGCCGTGCGGTTAAGGCGATTTTTGGAACCACCACTATGTCGATGACTTTGTTGATAGCTTCTGCCTCGGAACGAGGAGGCCATTTTACTATATTCCCAATGAGTTCCGGCGATTCATATGGATTGCTGGGTTTGAGCTTCGCATTTTAACATCCAATGCATCGAAAGTGTTGAAGGCGCTCAACGTTACTGATGTCTGCACGTCCAATTAAATAAAGAAGGTTTCGTTGAGAGAGCAGGGGTACTTGGTTTGTTTTGCAGGTCATCGTCAGAATTGTTTCGGTTTTAAATGAAATTCCATAACGTTGGGTGAAAGCAGTGGTAAAGGAGAAAGACGTCTAATAAAAAGAACTACCTAGCAATTGTTTATGTGATTTTTCGACCTCTAGGATTTTCTGAGCAACTTCTCATTGGCGCCAAACTACTTATGCGTGAGTTATGGGAAAACACGACATCAGTGGAACGACCCGTTGCCAAACGACGATTAACGCTGTCTGGGAGAAGTGGCGTAAAAACTACAGAGGTTGTGAAAATACGCCATCTCGTTTTTATTGTTGGGAAATTGGTATAGCCTCAATACTTAGCTCCACGTATTGTCGCGCTAGTGAAGATGCCTTCGCTGCTGTTGCGCTATCTTCGATGCAAAAACTTCATCGGGTAAAATTGATGTAACATTCGTTTCTCTAAGTCAATGCGCGCCAATGGAAAACTCTTACCGTGCCACGGCTGAACTTCAGGGCAGCTTTTTAGGCATCTTCGTCATGCAGTGCATCCGCGACGACACTCTCTGACATCCAGACATGCATTCTGTGGAGTGACTCCAAAACGTTATCAAATGGATTCGAAGTTGAGCACCGTGTTACAAAGCCTTTCGCTACAGCATAGAATAGCAGAGATATTGGGCCCACTATTCAAAACGGTTTCCAATTGGAGATGGCTGCCACAAAGCTTCAAACGTAGCCGACGAGGCTACTTTCGTATTAAATGATTGCATCAATAATTAGTCAAGTGACGCGTTGGTCACGTGGTCCCATCGTCCTACAGCAGGATTGAGCAATTTTTGGCCCTCTGAAGATGCTAACCCGTTGGAAATATAACCTGAAATGAAGAATACAGCTAATTTGCTTTAGTCATCGTGAGTCGTATTTTTTGAACTTTAATAATTTCTCTTCATTTAAAAGATTGGTAAGAGCTGTTGCCTGGATTTTACGCTTTATCAAAACAATGTCGCCGTCGCGGACAGCTAGAACCAATGCTATGGTTTAACCGCTAAAGAAGTAGAGAATGCCAAACGCCTATTCCGTTGTACAAACGTGAAGTGTATACAACAGAAACGCAGTCCATGAAACGGTTCAGGAAATTTCCAACAACAGCCCTTATTACAACTTCGCCAGCACATAGACGAGGGAAGGTGTCCTCCGAGTGGCAGGGAGCATGACGCGCAGCTAGTGGCTACCAATTAGCGCGCGGCGTCCTATATTCTTCCGCCAAAATCATGCATTTTACAAGGGCTGTTAGTGTTAATCATCACAGCCTCATGAACCACCAGGAACCTTAGAAGCGTACATGAGATATCCGGTTCGGCAATTATGGGTGCGCGACTAAGAAGAAGTTTGTTGCTAGATCGTGATTGCCAGTTTGCGGTGATATGCCGTTTAATAAAGCTGCCCCGGTAGCTCCAAAAGACTGGGGCTGCTTCCTTGGACAGACTCACTCCCTATGTGAGAACCGTTTAGGCTACCATGACTCGATTACTTTGGGCCACTAACTGTCACTGTTTTCGACGCAGCACTAAAGAGATGGGTGGCACTATTTACGTGCCTTACTGTGCGAGCTGTGCACCTAGAACTGGCTCATGACTGAGTACCGACTCTTGTATCATTGCTATACTAATTTTGTGAACCGACGAGGTACGCCCTTAAGGATTAGGCTCGGAAATGGAAAGAATTTCGTTGGTGCTGACGAGAACCAAGCGATTCAAATAAGTATTCGACTGCTACGTCTACAAACGTGAATTATCAAGAAAAT